TGAGAAGATAGAGGACGTCTCCGAAGCGACGGAGGCTGCCAAGGCGACGGCAGACGAGAAGGCCGAGGCCACCGCCGTCGGGCTAGGCACGGCGGGCGCGCAGTGGCCGAAGGCGGGGATGCAGACGAGGAGCAGCCACCGGAAGGCGCCCGCGGCCTTCGTGTAGCCGCCCCGCACGCAGTCGGCCGCCGCCTTGAGGCCGGCGCGACCGCCGGCGCCGCACGTGCCAGCGCCGGCGCCGCACGTGCCAGCGCCGGCGCCGCACGTGCCAGCGGCGAATGGCGCCTTGCCGGACGTGGTCTGCGGCTCGCGGCGCCAGTTCGGGCGGCGGCCGCGGCCGCGGCCGCGGCTCTTGCCAGTCTTCGGCTTGCGCGGGCAGCGCCTTGCCTTGCGCCGGCACTTCCTCGAGCGCCGCGACTGCAAGTCCGCCCACTTCTCCCGTTGCTCGGCAATGAGATCGAGCGCGGCCTTCGCCTTCTTGAGCCGCCCCTCCCAGTGCTCGCGCTCCTTGGCGGCCTCGGCCTCAGCCTGCCCCGCGCCCGCGACCGCGCCAAGGGGCTTGGGCGCCACGGGCGTAATGCCGCCGGAGGTGGGGACTCCCGGTGACGGCGACTTGTTGCCGTCGGCGGGCGTAGCCTGGTAGCTGACGCTCTCGCCCAGCCGGCGGACCGCAGCCTCGACGCCGTCCCCGTAGCCCGGTCCGGAGCCGCTGCGGGCCGACGCGGGCCCGCTCTTCCCCGCCGCCATCGGCGTGGGCAGGCCCGGGTAGCAGGTGGTGTCCTGCAAGCGCGATAGGGGCACGCGGGAAGGGAGATTATTACCGGTGGGAGAGCGAGGAGTGCCAGGAGAGAATGCTGCGGCGCGCTCACCGTTGGGTCGGGCGTGTTGGAAACGGTCTTGGCCGGCTTCTCGACCTCCTTGGCAGCCTCCTCGGCGACGGCCTCCTCGGCGACGGGCGCCTCGGCGACGGGCGCCTCCTGGGAGGCGGACACCTCGGCGGCGGCGGGCTTGATGGTCGCCTCCTCGGTGGCGGACTCCTCGGCGACGACGGGCTCCTCGGAGGCGGCCTCCTGAGTGGCGGCCTCCTCCTTCACAACGACGTCGTTGTTGACGCCGCACGCCTGCGTGAGGGAGAAACGTAACTGTTTTGAGACGGGGACACCGCAGGGACTGCCGACCCTGGCGTAAAAGTGCGCGCACCTCAGCTCTGAGCGAAGGCGGCAGCGTCAGGCTCGCGCGGCGGCGCTGATACCACTCCTCATACTCCGCACTGGAAGCGAAGTAGCCACCGACCTTGACGGAAGCCGTTGGCCCGAGCTCGGTCTGAACCTGGGCCCCCTCCGCGAAACAAAAGCTGATTGGCACCTTTGCGAGGCTCCGATGGAACACGTGGGGGTTGTCGAACCAGACGCCCTTTGTTGATCTCACAACCAAGAAAGCCGACTCGCCCTCGCTCTCATTGAAGTCGACCATGTAGCGCCTCTCGGCGCGCGTCCTGCAGAGCAGAGAGAATGGGGGCCGCCCGTGAGAGGGGTGAGGCAACGCGCCTGCATTGGTCGGAAGCGCGAACAGCTATGCGCATGTGTGGGGTCTGAAATGAGAGGAGAGTGACGGGGGACAAAGCTCGGACGTTGAGCCTGCGGAGGGCGGCGTCACGAGGGAGCGGGCTAAAGTTCATGTCGGGCGAGTGTTGCAGGCGACGAGGGCCAGAGAATAAGGGGGCCTTGCGGGCGAGGGCGAGGGCGAGGATGGCGGCAGTGTGTGTGGGGGGGGGGAAGGGGGGGGGTGGGCCTTGCGTCAAGGTCAAAGGTGGTGGGGGTGTCAAAAAAAACCCCAAAGGGGGGGGCTTCATCGCTACCATTTTTTACCCCTGGGCGGGATAAAATTTTCCGTGCGGCCGGTATAATTGCCGCGGTCCATTTTCCCGGCGAGAATGGCTCCCAAACTGCGCGCGGTGTCCCCCTAAAATGGTTCCAACAAAACTTCGGGGGGGGGAAAATCCCTTTTTTTAAATCCTGGGCCCACATATTTGTTGTTACTCCCCGGGGAAACGGGTTCTTTTTTTTTTTTT